GTAACTAAAGTTGTGTTAGACTAAGTGGCTCATGAGGCAATTGGGCTGCTAGCAGGTAAAATTTACCCGCTTTAGTCGGTCACAGGACGAAATTTCAGGTTTTTTTGCACTTACGGGACGTTTTATAAAAGTTGTCCACTCACAGGTCTAAACCTCAAATTGGTACCACTTAAAGGACTAAATTTCTAATTTTTCCTATACATGCGCAAATACATTCCTCTCAACATACCATTGCTAAACATGAACTGACTTGAACGTCAGAGTATTTTCCGACAGGGCTCCTCCCTGCGTATTACAAGTCATTGGAGCACTAAGGCGGTTCAAATCAACGAATTGTGGTTCAAACCAGTGCAGAGGATAATTTGCGTAACAGTATGAACGGGTGATGCTTCAATGCTCAGAGCATTGAAGTTTAGTTAAATATGAAATTTTACTTTATTGGATTATAACTTCAATGCTCAAAATATTGAAGTTTACAATTGTTAAATACATATTTCTACTTTATGGGTAGTAGCTTCAATTCTCAAACTATTGAAGTTTACAATATATATAGTTACCTAGCTATGAATTCAAATAAAGTAGAGCTATCCAACATTTATAAATTATAATGATTTCTAAGTTGATTTATAATGTGTGTTAAGGAGTTCAAATACTTTCATCCTTGTAGCTTCAAGTCATCCAGTTGTCCCCATCGTGCAAGTCATAGGATACAGTCAGTAGATGGCTATGTCCATGGCATGCAAGCTGTGTGTTTTTCTTGTAGTTGCTAGTGACAATTGTTTATGGTTTTATAGTACATTTAGCATCAATGAATAGAAGGTTTTATTATACATATGGATATAAGGACACACCCTCTCCGAATATATATGTTGTATTCTCAGCTCAATCGTAATCAATGAAGAACATAAGATTGTCGATCCCGAAAATGAATATCCAAACTTTTAGGTTCATTTCTCAGCTCATCACGGCAAATCTTTCAAAAAGTTCATTTCTAGTTGTTAACAAAAATTCATCAAGATAGCCAAATTTGCTAAAGATAATGAAGTTTTCTTTCAACTTCATCCATATTATTGTGAAGGATCTCAATTTAATGAGTCATACTAGTGGAAAGAAACCTTAAACATGGCCTATACAAGTTTCATCTCACGAAGACCAGAATCCATCGACAATATCCCATTCCCAGCACCAAACCACACTTTATACATTTACCAGCTTTCAATCAAGTTGCAATGATTCTCCTCCAGTAGAATCTTTCGTCCCAATATGGGTTGTGTTGTACTGTAGGTGCGTTTGTGTAGTCTTCTAGGCTCCGAATCCAGAGTCCTCCCGCTAGATTCAGCTAGATAGTTGTTTGGCATTCTAGATATATTCTAATTGTACTTACGTGTTTTTTTTTTATAAACGTTTCGAAAAAAAAAAAAAAAAAATCTAAGTTGTAATGGGGTTGGGGACAAGAATACATGTGCAAAGACATGCTACACGAATATTCTTAAGCCTGGACTTGAAAAAATACTCTCTTTTGATTTAAAAAGCCGAATTGGTTATCATCATCAAAATATTTCAATTGAAGAGAAAAAAAAAAAAAAAAAAGGCTTTTAACGAACCCATGTTATCCCAAAGATTCTCGTATCTGCATACAGCTTAAAAGTACACATTTTGAGTATTTAATTCCTCGAGACTTTTGGTCTCTTACCCTATCATCAATTATTATTTATTACATTATTTTGAGTCAAACCTCAACTAACATTCTCAACAAGTTGCCGAATCATTACAAGCATTCACTGTTCAAACATAACAAAAAAAAAAAAAAACAAAGTAATATCGGCCAAAATCACCTCTGTCTCACGCTTGACAATTCAACAAATAATGAAATAATCAGTGCATATCATATTCTGAAATAAAAATTTAAAAGACAAAAAAATTGTCGATTTTTTTTTTGTTTCTGGTGTGATTTTAGTGTGTAACCAAGCCAAACTGAGCTCGAGCTTCTCATATCCTAGCTCGGGTGAGCTCTGCTCGTCAACCAAACGAGTCAATAAACATGCTCGAGGTAACTAATTGTATTTCGGCCTTAACAAGTCTAACGAAGGTAAAAGATACAAAAATTACATAAGAACCCCTATTTTCGAGCCTCAATAAGCTTGGTTCGACTTGTTAACTGAACGAACTTTAGCTCAGCTCAATTTAATAAACGAGCTGAGCTCATGAGCATCACATTTCGTTTAACAACTTTAGATTTTATACAAAATAGGTCATCAAGTGGGGGTAAAAGAAGTAGAGAAAAATGGCTAATGGGATG